TAGTATGGTGGCTGTTAAAGTCTCCAGTGTATATTGTCGGGTGAGAAAATGTGGGAAGTACGTTTGGTACTGATATTGACTATTGTTATGTCGTCTACTTTCACAGCGAGTATAAAAATCTCTTGTGTCGAGTAAGAGTGACATGTGCTGTAATGTTTGATGTCTGCTCTACAATAAGTCGCGATACCATACTGAGCGTGGTTGAGTGAAGCTATAAGGGGGTAAAGGAAAATGACATAAGGCGCAGAAGTTATAACTTTGAACTATACACGGCAAACAATGAATCCGAGGTCATAACATCCATAAAGATCGGACGTCTGCGCTATATGGGCCATGTTGGACGAATGTTGGAGACTGAAACACCAAAACATATAATGAGGCAAACACCAGTAGGGAGAAGGTCAAAGGGAAGACCCAAACTTAGATACATGGAACAAGTGGAACAAGATCTTAAAACACTTAAGATTACCAACTGAAAAAACAAAGCAAAGAACAGAACAGAATCCAGGATCCATAAAGGATTGTCGAGCTACTGATGATGATGATGATGACGATGACTTTGGATTCCAGAGTTATGGTTTGATCATCCAAACATCATTTTACTAATTTCAATTAGTAGCTTAATATTAATAATAATGTCAAAAAACAAAAATTTTACAATTCTTAAGGGAAAAAAAGAAAAAGATATTTATTTATTTAACACTGTTATAGAAGCTGACTTTAATTGCGGCAAAATACAAAAATTGCATAGGTAAGTTGCACTCTTCATCGTTAAATGCTTTTTGATTTTTGTCGATAGGACTTTGATCAAAAGATATTGAATTTTTAGATTTTTATGAAGAACGGTTTATTTTACACAAAGTGCTATTTTTGTTTTTCCCCTACGAGGGGTGGTAGTTTTAGGGAAAAGCTGGGGGCAGGAATAGCCACCTCTCACATTCAAAATTAGTCGCGTTTGTATAGATCCTCCCTGGTCTACTACGTTAATATCTAATTTATTTTCTGTTGTTTGTATAACCCTCCAATCGTCACAGTATAAATTACTTATATCTCCGATTCTGAGAATATTTTTGCGACATGTTACACATCTCTATTATTTACCGTTTCAAAAATAATATTTTTTCTATTCTCGACGTTCAAATTTAATTGTACGTCGATGACACTGGTTGCGTGTCATCTAATTACCGCTCATTAGTGTTAATAACAATAATGTTGTTAATTAGGTCCTGTAATTTTCTGTTTGAAATCACCGTATTGATTAAGCGATTTAAAAAAAACGCACGTGTCTTTGGCCTTTGGTCATCCATTATAACAAGCTACTTCTTTGGCGTGACCTGAAGACATTCTATGACAGTACAATAAACAAAAGCATTATTGTTGAGCACAATGAGTTAATAGTTGACAATCAAGGTTAAAAACCTTTAAGAATGTATTATTTTCTACTAGAAGTTTAAAAATAGCGAAACATAGTTCTGAGATTGTTTTCTTGTAAAATCTCTGCTTGTGATACATACATCTTCATACAAAAGATGAAATGGATGTACATCCATTTAGAGATAGAGACTACAAAAATAACCATAACATGTACAACTTCGATCATAAACACCTCTTCAAGCAAGCTACGGGCACAACTTTAAATATAAATAGCTTTTTTGGACAGGCAACTGAAAAGCAATATCTGACTGTCAATCCCATTGTTTAACACTTTCAAGATTTCCCATTTTCTTCCTGCAAAACATATTATATTCTTCAAATATACCTCTTGTTCTTCTTTTTCTTTACTCCAGCCACTGATATCTTTACATTTCTTAAATAATCTTAAGTGTAACATTCTCAAGAAAAATTTTATAAAGTGCCTCATTAGGTTTATTAGCTAGTAGGCCTTGCAAAATTTCGCACGTAGTATTTTGAGTAGCGTGATAAATGTAAAGCAAAGCCAATCGTTTGGAATCTGGCCCATATCGTAGATATCGTTAAAGCGCTTCAAAATAATGTCTAGATTTTCTACAATGAATAATTTAATTGTTTCTGCATATGTAATCTACTTTTGGAGCTTTGTTACTGTTTAATAGTTTGATAACGTGTACAACCTCAGCTTTTAAAATACTTGACCCATTCACATGGCCTACCAATTGTGGTGGCTTTTGTGATTCTTGAACAAAATAGATGTGTACATTTTCCAGCTACTAAGTGTATCCTGGGAGTCCATTTTTAGGTTATGGTATACCAGTGACTTATTTTATCTTGAAGATCCCAATTTCCTTAATTTTCTTCTGAAGATTGAAATTGTCACCTAGTTTATATAAGTTTTCAGCTTCAGTTCAAAAGGTAGGATCTTCTTCGCTCACTATAATTTCTTTACGAATTTTGCTGTGTATATTTAGGTACCTTACTTGTTCCTACGTAAGCTTACACAGCCTGAGTTGTTTTCATTATTTCTAATACTTCTTCTTCCATTCACTCATTCTTAATAGCTTTGGTACTGTTATTTTGAAGAAAAGTTTTTTTTTGAGTACCTTTCAGTCTCCATTTTCACCTATGTAACCAGACTTCTGACTATGTCCTCTTCAGTCTTCGTTCCTCCATTTTTGGCTGATATACTTCACTGATAATTTGGCTATGGTGCGTTGAAGTAGAAATGTTGGCCTTGTTGGCGTGAAGTGATATAACATTTTTTGCGGTTGGTTCTCCTAGATCATTATGGACGGATGCATTAACTACCATACGCAGTGTTAAAGGTGTTATTACGATCTTGATTTAACGCTGACGTTAGCTGGTGTGTTAGTCTATTTAGCTGTGGTTTATCGAGTGTATTTCGGTACTTTTGCCAGTTTGCACGCGCTCTCAATTTTGCGGTTAGAATTTGTTTGATATGTAATGGCACATTATTGTCTTCAGAATTACCCTTCTTACTTATAGGAGTAGACTCCCAAGCAGCTTTGTGTATCACAGCCGATTGCTTTTATTTTCAGAAAAGTGTTAGTGTTAGAGGTGTAGTATAACTTTTTTTATAATCAAGAGTTGCATTGTTTTATTTGGACTATGTAACGAATGCTAGAAATTTTTGTAGCTCTTGCAGTTTTGTGTTGTATGTTGAGCCTTTTAGACGTTACAAGCTGAGTGTACTTTTGGAAATGCCGCCATCTTTGTTTTTTACCCCAACTTATTCTTTACCTCCTCCTCATTCGAACGAGTCCTCTTACGTCACGATCTAACCAAAAACAACGGAGATATGCTATAGTGCCGTTTTCACGTAGTCTTTGCGTTTGATTTTTGTCTTAACATATTCATTACCACCTCGCCTTTCTATCGATACTATGCAAGTTGTTGTAGTTGTTGTGTTGAGCCGTTTAGACGTTACAAGCTTAGTGTCCTTTTGGTTATACGCCACCATCTTTGTTTTTTATGTTAACGTATTCGTTACTCCCTCCCCTTTCCGATAATACCTCACACATTACAATCCAATCAGCCATCGTGCCTCCATCACGAAAAGCATAAAAAATGACCAGAATGAACCTTAGCGATTTCTTATGGGATTTAACATGGAAAATACGCCAAACTCTCATAGCCCTTTTACTTATACCTGAAAAAGAGCTAATTGTATTTTCAGATTCTCTCCTTTTATCTTTAAAAGACTTTTTTAATATTGAAGTCACTTAATTTGCAAATTTATCCTTTTGTGTGACCTTTATTCTATAAGAATTAGTATTTTATTCACGTCTTTTGTAGCAGTTGTATACAATCAATGCGGCATTCTTTGCAAGTTATTGCTTTTGTGATTTTTATATCGTACCGTCTGCATCGCTGATGCTTTCAACTATTATCCGTCCATGTAGTATCCCTTCTTTATTTTTTCTTGCTAGATTTCTTCGACCACGATCACGCTAATTATCCATACGTCAGATTCCACGCCACTGCGACGCATTCAACAACCGACCAAACAAACAAGAGAAATCGAAAGTGTTCAGAAGCGATTGCTAAAATTAAGGTCACCTTATTTGTACGTATGCGTCCAATTCAACTTTCATTTTTTTAATCGTAATATCTTATGGGTATAACGTTATGCAACTATTATCGTGTAGCATTACTTAATAAATATTCGATACATTTCACATGCGATGTATGCTTGACACGACACCGTATCGTAACTAATGAGCTATTAGTTGCAATTATATATAAAATATACATTTTGGTGCATTGAAAACAGATGTTTATCATTGAAAAATAATTATTGATCAATATAAAATGTAACAAAGAATTCAGAGAAATAATCCAAAATTGCTGACCAAAAGCTCTCACAATGATGATGTAAAATACAGAGAATATTAACTCTTGGAAGTAGCAGAAAATAAAGACAATGAGACAACAAAATTGCCAACGATGGAACACATTGAAAGGGCAATAAAACTGCAAAAACTAAAATTCCCCTGGATGCGATGAAATACCCTCAGAATGGTTCAAGTCCGGAGGAAGGAAAATAATGAAGGGGATATATGAGATCATACATAGAATATATAGAGAAGAGAACATCCCAAAAAAATGGAATGATCATCTGGAATGGAATGGAATAATCTGCCCTCTGATAAAACTATAGAGGAATCTCCTTGCTGGTATTGTGGATGTAAAATATTTACTAGTATACTTAAGTATAAACTACTTCACTCTCAAAGAATATTAGGCTGGATGTAGACAAGGAAGAAGGAAAAGGAGAATGAAAGAAAAACAAAAACATTATTTTAAAATTATAAAAAAGACCTTTTGTTTTTTAAAAATGTTTGTAGGTGCTCTAGAATTTACAGTGATATTAAGTCGCGACATTTTTACATTCCAAAATCACTATTATTTTCACTATTCAAAAGATTGAATTTTTTCTGTGAAATATGTTATTACAAATCTATTGCAGGAAAAACAAATATAAAACTTATTAAAATTTCTTTTCTTCTATACTTATTTACAAATGATTTTGATTAAAACCATTGCTCTAGTAAAATATCGCTTACCTTTGCTGTGTTACCTGCTGCCAAATGAACACATTTTTGGGTAATTTGTAAACCTGTAAAAAAAGATATATATTAGAAATAAAAAATTGTCAATATTATTACGTTAAAATAGTCAATGGTGTGCTAAATACACCTACGAAAACCAAAGGAAAGTGTTAAAGATATCAGAGACAAGGGTCAAATGTGAAACAGATAAACCATTTTTTAACACAATTGTGTTTATTTAAAATCTGCATCAAATGTGTTACTGGTTTTGGGCGTAAAGGAGAGATATCAAATGATGTCTCAAATCTCATTATATTTTGGTTTAGTTTTGAAGTAGGTCTTGGGACCAGGTTCAATCTAGTCTTCTTGTGGCTGGACCATTGTTGAATAATGCCCTTACTAGCTCATTTTCATGGTAAATCGTACGTTCATTTTGTGACTCTCACGACTCTCTGTTTATTTCCTGATATTACAGTAATTAAGTATTTAATTACTTTGGATGGTATTCAGCGACGTTGGCTTTGCACAGCCCCATAGGTGTAGTCCATAGAAACAGATAGTTTGAGCATTCCTTTGTACACAACAATTTCGTTTTGGATGTAAAGTTTTGATTTAAGTCCAAGGAGCCAATACATTTGCCGGCATTTTAAGTCGAGCTGTCTTCTTTTGGTCTGGATTATGTTTCTTCCAAGAAAGACGTTGCTCAAGATGGAGGTCCTGTAGGTATTCTTACATTTTCCATTCTCACAGGTGGGCACGTGTTGTGGTGGTTGGTTAATGTTATTTGAGTTAATTTTGTTTTATTTACTTTTGTTTTCCATTTCGTATACCAATCACTAAGTATGTTTCGATAATGTTGCAGATTTTGTGAGTTTGGTATGGGATCTTCATTTACAGCTAGTATTGCTACGTCGTTATCAAAGGAAGCGATTGTAGTATTATGTCTCTGGTATATCGGCTATGTAGAGTGAGAAAAACAGCGTCTCTAGAACACTACCCTGTGGGACTCCGGAGTTGACAGAGGTTATGAATGTTGGTTGAATTGTATTAGGAAATATCTATTTGTTATATTTTAGGATGTGAGCAGGAGGAAATAGTTACTGGATAGTGCTATTTTTACTTTGTAAAGCAAACCTGTGTGCCAGACTTTGTCAAACTCTTGTGAAATGTCTAGAAATACAGCGTTGCAGTATTTCTTTTCTTCAAGACTTTTTGATATTTCATTTATCATTGGATGGACTTGTTGGTAGTGAAGTGATTTTCCCGAAAACCAAAAAGATATTTTGGTAGTAATGTTAGCAGTTCATATATATATATATATATATATATAAATATATATATATTATATAATATATTATATATATATATATATATATATATATATATATATAGCGAGTGTTTGCAACTTTAATTTTGTCGCTTCTCGCATCCCAATCGCCATAATTTCTTATCGGCCCAGTCTCCTTCTTGAAGACCTCTATTTTCCATTTCTATATGAATATTGGATAATCCATTTCTTCCTTGGCCTTCCCCTTTTATTTCTCTGTGTAGGTCTCCAGTTCCAAACCTTTCGTGGTATCCTTTCTTCGTTCATCCGTCTCAGGTGTCCATACCATTTTAATTGTTTTTCGGCTATCGTATCCATTATTGTGTTCTTTACTTTCATTCTCTCTCTTATGCAGTTCATATTCTACGTATATCTTTTGTAGCAGCAATATTTCAAAAACTTTGCTTACGGTTGGGAGTAGGTTGATGGGTAATAAGATATTACTTCGTTGGGCTCTTTTCCTGGCTTAATAGTTATGATTTCAATCAATTTCCATATTTTTAGAAAGTTTGATAAGCTTAATATGCGGCTAAATATAACTGTTAGCATAGTAATGGTCTTGCGAGGAAGTTGTTTTAGTACTTTTGCCGAAAGGCCTTTCGTGAGTTCAGTTTGTTTATTTCTTTCTTGACTTCTATAGCAGTAAAACTTTTGATCGGGAGAGACGTTTGACATGCTGCGCTAATTAGTTCTTCCACTTCTTCATTCAGGTCCGCTGGCTTTGTTTTAAATACCTTTGTAAGATGTTTAGCAAACACGTCAGCTTATTCTTTGTTCGAGTATGACCATTCGCCATTTGGTTTACGGATGGGAGGGACAATTTTGTATGCTTTCTTTAGCTTCTTAGTCACCTTTTATAACGCCTAGTAATTTGCTGTGAGGTTTTTAATGTAATGTTCGAAGATTTGGTTGTTTGCGGCTTCGATGGCAACTCCAAGTTGCCTACGTAGTCAATTGAATATATGTTGAGCTACCAGGTTCTTCTCGCACGACGTTTTTCGGCAATGAGTGGGCAAATGTGCAGGGGTACATTTGTGGTATGTGTTGGTTTGCATTCAGTTCATAGTGTAGATTGCCATGCCGCTTTTTGCACAAGTGTGTTGAATTATTCAGCTGCTGTATCTATGTGTAGAGTTAATACGCTTAAGATAAGCGTTTTCTTCTAGATATGATTAAAAGTCTGCCCAGTTGGTGTTTTTTGACGTGAGTAAAAAGATAAAACATGAAACAGATAATAAACAATTGTATTTAAACAAACGAAACTTTGCTAAACAAAACTTTCAATGAAATTTGAAAACTGAAACAACATTGAAGGCACTAATATTGTTTATCTGGATGAAAAATGAATTAAAATTAAGAAATTATATTTTTTTAGAAAAATTTGACAAAATTAACAGGTTATAAATATTCGTCAGGCGTTTACTGAAGGTTTGCCTACGGGATTGAAACTTTTTAGTACCTACTGTAAGAACATCAAAAGAACATTGAAATACGAATTTGCGATTCCCACTTTGTCATTGCTTACATAACCCTACTAAACTAATCTGGGCTCAAATAAAGGGATATGTCTTAGGAACAATACCACTTTTAAACATTTGAAACATTTTTTGCTACGGCGTACAGATTTTTGGTAAATCACCCCTTCGAGGGGGGTTTTGGGGAAAGTCTAGAGCGTCAAACTGTTTTGCATCTTTTTGGGTCCCAAAATTGACATTCTTAACAAAAATTTAGCTTGTTTGTATGATTTGCCGTCTTGCCGAGATCAAATCTCTGATGACTATACTATAATATAAACCCCAAGTCGTAAACTGATAATTGATACTAGTTCAGTTTTATTTTATAATTTGACAGCCTTTTCCTGTACTTTCTTACAAAAAAAAATAATTTCGACTGCTCGATTAATTCCACATGAATTGCAATCGTTAATTTCACTTCAAAAACAGTTGTTTACTACAATAGTCCGAGGCCGGATGTTTCGGCACCAGCATCGTTCATGGTGTATCTTTTATCTAGATAATTGTCGACAATTTAAAAGTAGAGTGATGCGAATCATTGTTAAATAATAGTTGGACACCTGACTTGATGACTACCTACTTGTTTATTCATTGTCTTTTTGTTTGCGCACGGAATCGACAAGAAGGTGTAGGTGATTTTGTTCAAGTACGATTGCGAACACTTCGTGGATGTGTCACTGTTTATATTGCAAAACAAACATGATTAAAAATTAAGAATAAGATACTATACCCTGTCTACCCAACAGACGGAGTTATCACGTGAATACCATGTGAACTTATGAAATATTATAATCATTCCTACAAACTGTCAAACTAGTCAGAATTCGTGGCAAACAGTTGGTCAGTGAGAGAACAATAATACTGTCATTAGTACTATCCTCCTTACTGCGCTGGTCGACTATTCGTTCATAGTTTTGGACGGTTCGGCCACTTGTTGGGAAGAAACCTATTATACGAATACGTTCGCATTGAACCAGTGACGTACCAGAAAAATAAAATAAAAAGTTATTATACAGACAAAAATTGAAATAAACGATTTTATAACAACATGTTATGTACATTGTAATGAAAAAAACCGTAAATTTCAATAGGATGATTTGGGAGCGTTTATAAAAGCTTGAGATACCGCTAAAATATAAATAACGCAAGCTTGACTGTACGGGAAATATATATAGTGTTAATTTTAAACAATTTCTAGCATTTGGCGTAGAAGTGGACAATACAATTTTAAAATATAACTTAAAATATAACCTCAATCTGACACTATAACTTAAAAAATTTAATGCAATACAAAAATAATAGAAGTTCCTTAAAAAGTAAACAATAAGACCTGGAAGTGTCTTTAACAAATGGGGAGAAATGGCAATCAAAATACTATAGGCTAACTTTAGGCAATGTGGACATTATACACATGTAAACTTAAATGTGTACGTAATGGTAGCTTACCCCACTGATGCTTTAAAGTGTGCACCAGGTCTTACGTGATAGGTCAAATTCAGGAGGTGTCTCTGTGATGAAAGGTATAACTGTATTTGGTTCAGGTTCCGACCATTCATAGATTCATTTGGTGGTCATGTTGAACTCGGTAGCTGCAGCTAATTCTGCGGTTTGTATTGGAGATTTTCTGGAGGACAGTCGACCTTGGAGGGCAGTAGACTCGAAATGGGTTGGTGTAGGTTTGGGTGAGCTGGATATCAATCCTTTGAACATCAGTACTGTTGATCCATATTGGTATGCAATATTCAGCTAGAGAATAAATAATAGCTAAGCCTGAAGACCTGAGAGAGAGACCTGATACCGATGCCTCCATTTTGTGCCGCAGAGCTTCTGAATTATGTTATTTTTGGTTTTTAGCTTCTTAGCAACTATACTTAAATGTTCTCTAAAGCTTACCGTTCTGTCCAAAACTACGTCTAGGTATTTTGGATGTTTATTGTGGTTGAGTCATGTGTTATCAAAAGAACGTTAAGTAGTGTTCTTGACTCCAGATTGTTGTTTAGGTGAAAGTAAGTTACTTCAGTTTTAGAGTCATTGAGGCGAAGTCTCCATTTTTGAAAGTAATGTCCTATAATCGCTAGGTCTTCCGTCAGAATCTCTTCAGCTTCTTTTGTGATTTTGTTGGTGTTAATAAAGCCCAGTCATCAGCATAGCTAAACTTTGTTGATGTTATCGGTATGTCTGCGATATAAAGGCTATAAAGCAATATTGCGAGTAACGAGCCTTGCGG